GGAGCCGCACCCGCCGCGGCTCCCCCCGCCCCGCTCGGGTTTGAATGGAGGGTGGCGGGCGGGGGGGAGCGGTGCCGGTGACGTGGCGCCGCCCCATTGGCCGGGGCGGGGCGATGACATCATGCCCGCGGCGGCGGTAGTGGCGGGGGCGCGGCTTCGGCCCGGGGCGGGTTCGGTTGCGCTCGGCTCGGTTCGGCTCCGGACCCGACGACGCGGCCATGGCCCGGGAGCGGGGCCCGAGCGGGCAGGTAGGAGGGGGCCGGCCCACAGCCCGGCCCGGCCCAGCCCGGTTCGGTTCAGCTCGACTCCGACCGGCCCAGCCCAGCCCGGCCCCGCTGCAGGCACCGGGCCTTCGCTCCGCTATTGTGCAGGGAACGGAGGGGGCGCGTCGGTACCGCGATCCGGTTCACATCCCCTGGCTCCGGGCCAGCCGCGCCGCCGCTGCCGGAGCTGGGGCAGCGCGTAGCCTTCCGGCGGCGCCGGGCCGGGCCGGGCCGGGCCGAGGCGGGTCCCTCCCGCCCCGTCGAGCCTGCGGGGGCGGGCGGCGGCCCCGGTGCGGGGGGAGTCACCGCGTCCAGGAGCGAATAAGCGGAGTGACCGGGGGGGGCGGCAACGTCCAGGACCCCCTTAGCCCTCCGAGGGGGCATCGGGACCGCTGCCGTCGGGGTCAGTCCGGGAACGGAGTGCGGGGAGGGGCCGGGGGAAGCGGCCCGAGGGCTCGGGAGCCGCCGGGCGGGCGGTACCGGCGACCGCGGCTCGGTTTGCGGGCGGGATTGCGGCCCCGTTTCGGAAGGGGTTAACAGGACGCTCCGCCGTGTTTGCCCAGCCTGGACGGTCGGCTCTGCTCGCCTCACCCGGGCCACCGAGCCGAGCTCCCAGCTCCGTCGCGGGCGCTGAGTGGCAGCTCTTGCTTCCAGCGCTTGCTCGGCCGCTGGGGCTCCCGGCCCACGGGTCGGGATGGGTGCTCGAGGCGTCGGGCTCAGCCGGAGTGTCGCCCATTGCTCTCAGCAGGATTATTTGCTGCCCACGGGGTCCGGGAGCGCATGCGGGGCCAGCAGTGCCGCGCTGCCCGGGGCCCTCGAGGCTGCTCCAAGGCCCTTCTCGGAAATGTTGATCCCCGGCGCGCTGGAGCGGCTCCAGCGCCTCCCCGGGCTCGCTGTGCTGCGCCGGGACGGGGCGCAGGCTGGTGCTGAGTCAGAGCCACGCCGAAATCCCCCGCTGCCTCTTCCTCCTGTGGGGCTTCCTGGCCAGCCCCAAACTTCCTTGAGCCCCTGGTCCTTCCTTCCCCTGGCAGGCCACATCCCAGGATGTTCCCAGCTCCTGAGCCTGGATATGGAGCTGGTCCATCCCTCCCAGCCCGCTCCGGCGCTACCGGCACCATGGGCTGCCCTGGAGTGACCCTGGCTGCAGCGGCCCTGGGTATAGATGTTTCCAAGCACCAAATCTATAGATCGGGGAGCCTGTTAAAAAGGGAGCGGGATCGTTAGCTGCCTGATGGCGAGGTCGGACGCGGCCAGCCGGCCTCATCCCGCAGGGAGCAGCGGCCGAACCGGAGCGCGGAGCAAGGACAGCGGCTCCCTGGGCCCCAACGCTCTCATCTGCGGTGAACGGGGCTGCTTGGGCTGGAGCTGCCTCGGGGAGCGCGGGCCGCGGCCGGCGGAGGTGAGCGCAGGGGTGGCTCCACGATCTGGCTTCTGGTGACGAGGGAGGAGCAGAGCGGCTTCCCAAAGCCCCCGTGCTGGGGACACAGGCGCCTGGCTGCTCGTGGTCCCCGCCGCGTTGTGCTGACCCCAGCGCTGCTTTTGTTCCATTTTTGTTTGTGGGTTTTGTTGCGAGCAGAGTGGGCGCCGGGGCTGCGGCAGGTAGGGTGGCCGTCCCGCGGGACGCTCCTGTTTACATCCCGGCTAAGCAACAGGAATGTCCAGCCGGGGGGAGACCGGGAGGGCTGCTCCGCGCCGGCATCCTGCCGGACCCTGGCCAGGCTCCTGCGCTGGGAGCAAGGACCGGCGCCGAGATAACCTTTCCCCCCGGGAACGTCGTGCCTGGCCCAGGCCCCGCAGCAGGAGGATTTATGGTGCTTGTGCTGGCTTGTCCTGTTGAGAGCTGCTCCGTGAACTCCGGCTCGCCCTGCGTCGGCGGCGGGAACGCCGCTGCGCTCGGGGCCGGCGCTGGGGTCACGCGTGGTCTGTACAAGGGCCGGGCCATGCGGACTGCGGTGCGCTCCGAGCCCCATCCCTGTCTGCTCCAGCAGGAACATCAAAGGCGCCAGCGACCGCGTGAGCCGGCGGGTCTGGCGCGACCGGGCGCTTCCCCGGCGCGCGCTCGCCCTGCGACGTGCCGGTGCTGCC